TTAGTAACATTCCAAAGTTTGGTTGCGAAATGTTGTAAAATGCAGATGATATAGCTTGCGAAGTTTGCAATTTTCAGTCATTTTGTATTACAAACGGGAAATACATACTCTTTTTCAGAAGGAGGTATGTATTTTCCGCGCGTAATACAAAATGACTGAAAATTGCAAACTTCGCAAGGCTACAGTATATTATCCGCATTTTACAACATTTCGCAACGAAACTTTGGAATATTACTAATTTTGTGATTCTATTTCATGCCGTGAAGCAATTTTGTCTAGACTTGTTGAGATCTAAATTTTAGTCAAAAGGTGAAAGGTCCATTGCATGGTCTTGGCCATCTTATCTCAGAGCACGAAATGTTCTGTTTTGAGAAAACAGTATTTAAAACATTTAAACTTTTGCGTGAATATCTTATATTTTGAAAAACAGTACATAGAGCAATGCCATGTTAGTAATGCGAAAACAGTTACCAGACTTAGTTGGCAATTTTACTTTCATATGAACATTACGTCTTCGAAAAAGGAGTAAACATGCGAGTAAATTACTACAAATGGCGTAATTGTTATATATCCAATGTCGTCGTATAAAACTAGAACAAAGATAGCTTGCGAACAGGTTCTCAAGGTGAATTGAGAGCCTGCATCGATGACTAATGAATTTGAATATCTGCGTCTCAAATGTGAAATTCTCATTGGTCAGATGCTATAATTTATATTTTTCCGCTGAGCTCTATTATATGTCAACTCCTGAAGCACTATGCATAAAAAACACATTAACTGATCAAATTGGTCAATGGACCGGACCTTTCACCTTTTGACTAAAATTTAGATCTCAACAATTTTAGAGAAAAATTTTATCACAGAAAGAGCATCACAAAATTAGTAACATTCCAAAGTTTGGTTGCGAAATGTTGTAAAATGCAGATGATATAGCTTGCGAAGTTTGCAATTTTCAGTCATTTTGTATTACAAACGGGAAATACATACTCTTTTTCAGAAGGAGGTATGTATTTTCCGCGCGTAATACAAAATGACTGAAAATTGCAAACTTCGCAAGGCTACAGTATATTATCCGCATTTTACAACATTTCGCAACGAAACTTTGGAATATTACTAATTTTGTGATTCTATTTCATGCCGTGAAGCAATTTTGTCTAGACTTGTTGAGATCTAAATTTTAGTCAAAAGGTGAAAGGTCCATTGCATGGTCTTGGCCATCTTATCTCAGAGCACGAAATGTTCTGTTTTGAGGAAACAGTATTTAAAACATTTAAACTTTTGCGTGAATATCTTATATTTTGAAAAACAGTATAAACTATACGGTCTAAATTTAGCTTGCACGGTCTAAACAACTCCATATAAGGATAGACATTCCATATTTGGAAACACGAACGTTACGGGGCAGATATTCAAAATTGTATATCATCAGTACAGGCTCTCAATTCACCTTGAGAGCCTGTTCGCAGGCTAGAACAAAGATTACTAGTAGCCCTAGTAGTCGCAACAATTTGTCAACATGCTTTCCAGGGCGTCAAAATGTTTTGTTGATGATATGAAGCATCATTTCGTTATAACAGACGCTATAATGAAAGTTTTTAAAATTTTTCAAGTTTTCGAAAGAATATTAACAGACGTTGTTTCAAACTTAATTGAAATTGCAAAAGATTAGTTTTATCGACGACACGGATTCGTAATTTGAAACGGAACGTTCATTGCCCATGCCATTACGATGTTGTGCAACAATTAGAAAAAGTTTGTTAAATATTGATACCTTCTTAGTTCTTCGTGAACTTCTTCTTTCAGCTTGCGTTTGGAGTCAAGGAAAGTATCTTTAAACCAGATTTCCTTTTCATCTTTCATTTCCTCACGTTTCGGTTCGGTTTCTGTATTTGTAAGAAAGATTGCGTAACAGCTTAGAATGATTAAAAGTACCATGCAAATAATATTTATTTCACGCTGATGTAAAAGTCTACAGGCCAAATTAAAAAGCTGTTTTTTTAGGGTTTTTTATTTAATTTTAACTTTATGGGCAACAAACCACATTTTCATTCGTTCAAACAACCATAACACTTTAGTGCAACAGAAAAATTGGACTAATGCTTGTTAACGTCGTTGCTACCCAATAGACCTTATGCATAATGACGTCACAAGGCTTGGTGCCCGCGAGGAATGCTGGTCTTAGTGGTTATGGCCTGGGAAAATTTCGATAGTGGACATTTTGAATTGTTTAATTTTCGCGGGCGATAACTACTAAGACCAGCATTCCTCGCAGGCATCAAGCTTTGTGACGTCATTATGCATAAGGTCTATTCACAACTTTAGTAAACACACGTGCCCAGTTACTATTGTTCCAGTTAACGGAAGCAAGCGTGGGAATTGAACAAAGGTACTGTAACTAAGCACAAGAATTATGTATGATCATACTGTAGTTATTTACATATGTAGATAATTCTAGTGCTTAGTCAGCTTTGTATTATTATATACTTCCTAACTTCCCAAACTAGAACAAATTGTAGATAGGCGCATGCGTTATCCAAAGTTGTGAATTGGATGTAAACAAACAAACAAACGTTATGCCAATTCTGTTTAGAGCGGGAAAGTTCCATTTTAGAACTATACTCAGATATATGAAAAACTTGTTTTATATTAATCTCACATTGCAGATCTACATTTAGAAATAGACTGCATTTAAGAGTAGGTCTACATTTAGAAATAGACTACATTTAGAAGTAGATCTACATTTAGAAATAAGGTCAATGTTACACAAGGCAATTTTGACTGTATTCTAAAATGTGTATACCTGAACCGTATTTACAGGAAAATTTAGAACTTGCACCGCATTCTACCATAATAATTAGTAAAGTGAAAATATCAGAAAATGAAACGATCAAAATAGTTACAGCATTGGTTTGGAAACCGTGTTTAATCGATAGCATTTCAACTTTGATAAGTTAACGCCGCTTATATCAAACAATCTCTCCTAAAACATTAACGCAAACAATACTGACCCTTATATTTTCAGACTTTATATTTCATGAATTTTATAAAATTAAAGCAAGGACTTATATTTCAGGAGTAAAACTCACCTTGATTCATCGACTGTTCATCGACATCCAAATTATGATTTGGAAAGAATTCTTTAACATCAATGTGCCGTCTTTTCATGTCGTCACAAATTGCATTGAACTGGACACCAAACTCCATCAAGGAACACTGTCCGCCCTCAACGTTTAGTGTATATCCTTGCGTGTGCATAGCGACAATGTTTCCATTCAGATCAAAAACAGGAGAGCCACCAGCACCAGAAAAGAAACTTGTGTCGTAGGGCAGACAATCTTTGTATTTTTCGCTAGAGCGTAATAAATGTTCATTGGTCATGTGCAAACTAGGATCTGGGTTATCTATGTGTCTCTCTATAAATTTATCATGTCTTCGTCTAAGCTTTTCCCGCCATGAATAACTGCTGACAACAACGCATGTTTCTTCCTGCATTTCATTTCCCTCCGGATGGCCAACGATTATAACCAGACCTTCTTGCAATTGACGATTTCGGACGATTGAACCAAGAGGAACACGATCTTGTATACCTTTGCACTCTTTCAATCGTAAAAATTTATAATCCAAGCGAGAATCCTCCAGCTGAGGATCCTGTTCTTCATCAACTTCAATAGTGACAGCATGTTCTGTTTGTCCAGAGCGTAAGTAATCAAATGTAACTGTGATTGGCAAGTTGGGATTTTGCTGTTTCTCTCTTTCTTTGTTGATCAACATATAAACATGATAGTTAGTTATTACCAACATGTCTCCCACAAGCCAACAAGTTCCTCGAATTTCCGAACACGAAATTTGACCAATTGATTTGATGTAAGAAGCGAGAGGCCCAAACAATCTTGCGGGAATTTTTGTCGAAGCATTCTTGAGGTCATCTTTTGCAAAGCTGAAAACTTGTTGATCGTCATGTACAAACTTTCTATTATTTCTTCCAAATTCACCTCTATTTTTCGGATTTAACAAACTTCGGTGAGCTGACGACTTAACATTGCTCGTCATGGATTTACGAAGTTTCTCAGTCAAAGGATCCTTGCTCGATGCTTGATGAGTATACACGTACGAAACAGGAAATTCTTTGATGTACTTTTGAAGACGAGCTAACTCTTCATTTGCCAAGCTTTCTGCTCTGTTTGGGTTACACGCTTTTTCAATTATTGAGTTTACCCATTCATCTTAACAAATGAAAATAACGACTTTCTTTTAGTGATATAACGTTTTGTTTCCATATACATAGTTATACCTACTTAACGTTTTTAATACTCAATTCTTTTAGCACATACTCGGGAGGTGCATGGATAGTGCTTTTCTCGCAATTTGATTGGTTGTTCAGCTCCTGATACCCTTGCGCTATTCATCTCCGGACAAAACAAAATGACTTCCCGTTTCGTTCCGGTTACAAATGTGTATACTAAACGAGCAAATGTTTGTATACTAAACGAAGCTGCGGATTCGCCAAACACAAAGAAAGCTACAAATGGATATCTGTCCGTCGTTTATTGTGCAGGTTAGCCATTCATTGGTGGTACTAAGTAACGGTTAGGGCATTGTCACTTGAGCTGTATGGGATAGAATGCTGACAGCTGAGAGTTAGATAAAAATCACTAGGGGCATATTAACCATCTTAGATAATGGCTGCACCTGAAATCATTCATAGTCGTTGTGATTGGCTGAGTTGGTGCAAACATTTTCTAATCTAAGTTTAAATTAAAACTTTATACACAAGTATACATTATTTAACAGTTATTCTACGAACTCGAGTCGAATATGAGCTGATAGCCGATGAGGCGCATAGCGCCGAATCGGCTATCGCTCATATTCGACGAGAGTGAGTAGAATAACTGTTTTATTATATACACAAGGTCTGAATTCACTTAATATTTTCAATATTTTTCTATTTTGTTTATGTTTTTATCTTCGCTTTTTTGGCGGGGGTTTTTTTTTTTTAAATATATATTTTTAAACATTTTAAATTTTAAAAACTTATTTGCTAACCTGAAAACAATTTGTGGGAGTTTTTTATTGTGTTCTTAATCCTGTAAAGGTTATAAAAAGCGATAACTTGCCGTTTTCTTGTTTGCAAAACATCGTAAATTCAATTTGGCCACCATTTTGTTTTTCTCTACTAGCAGGATATGAGCTAATATCCTGCTAGTAGAGGGCCAATCAGATTGCAGAATACCTCATATTCAGACCCTGTGTATATAATAATTACTAATATACCGTGATTCCGAACATGTGGCAAATTTGTCTGAGCATGCGCGAGCAAAATAAGCCACGCAATTGCGTGAAATACACGCAACGCGTGTTTACAAAAAGCAGCGTTGTTTATATATTGCCAAATGTTTGGTACAAAATAAATGACTGTTTTATGTTGAAAATGCACATGATCTAAATTAATCATACAGGATTTTTTCGTGATGTTCTATTTCAGTACCCTGCCATTGCCCCTGGTGTGCTGTCCTTGTGCATTCGATCTGTTGCTACATTGCTGTCGAAACATTTCGAATGTTTACATGAAAATAGAGACAATTAAGTCATGCATTTTATAACCTCGTAAACTGTATGAGCCCCTAGATATCAAATAAAAATACATGAAATAGAGAACATATTTTTGGAAAGTTTTACCAGTTTTTTAAATATCGTCATTCGGGCTTGAATATAAAACGAATTTTGAATCTGATCAAGTACAAAAATATTTAATGTGTAACCAAAATTTGCTAATGAAATGGAAATTAAGAGCTAAATTTTTAGACAAGACCGTTGTCGAGGTGGTTTTCATGAATTTCACCTTTCGGCCTTTAATTTTTAGGAAAAATTTGACCACAACACGTGCGTTAAGCAACTGGGTCTCAAAGATTTAGCTAAAACATTGTGAGTCCCTATATACCTACAAACGCCGAAAAGGGTTTTTTTTCATTTAGCTATATTTGAAATTGAGGCCACGGGCTATTTTTAAGAACATACAGTTCAAAGTCTATCTATTTTTTAAGTCTGTCTATCTCAAATCTATTTTTACATATTTTCAAAACTTGTCAAATTTCGCGAGCTTGTATTTTGAACTTAGACCGCTGAAGTTACATTAAGAAACATAGGATGGACAAATCAATTTGAGGCAATAAATTTCAACTTACATTTCATTCTCATATCACGTTTTCTTCGTTTATTAGGGTTTTAAGCAAGCCATAGCTCGACGTATACGGTATTTACTCCCATGTTCACGTCGACATATTCACTTCTTCCAATCACTCAATTACAAGAAAAAAACATCACCAAAAAAAGAATTCATGATCGATTTTTAAAAGAATAACCGTTAATTTGTGAATTGTTAAGCGGAAAGCAAAAAATCGTTCCTAAAACAGCTTCTTGCTAATTTTCTGCTTTGTTTTGAATGTAAATGCAATGGAGCTTTGTTTCTGGCCGCGATTTTTTGGTCAGCAACGACAAATTCCCACCTGTTGTGATTCCGACTGAAGCGAGTGAAGGGTTTTTGCTTTGATTTTGATAAATACAACGTAATTACTGGCTCTCGAAACGCGACAACATTCTCTGATTTTTTGTCTTCATGTTAATTCACCTGAATATATTAATTTAAAAAATATTCGAATTATAGATAAAACATACCAAACATCGTGTATTAATTCAACACTATTCGTAGACAAGTACATGTCGATATGTAAAATTTGCAGATCAACAAACCATTGTCTTCTAAATAGTGGACGGCACTATGCACTCATTTCAGAAGTGCTTAAGCTAAGGTTTAATTCAATATAATACAGATAGTATACTTGAGCCATCACTACAAACTGATTCCGACAAGGATGAGTCGTCAACATATTTCCATAAATCATTAACGTCCTTAACACTTAGATCATTAATCATAATACAAAATAACCATGGGCCGAGCTTTGTGCTTGAGGGACGCCGGCTGGGACCTTTCCCCATTCGGAATGGCAGTCTTGGCTGAGTTTGCCCTCTGTTCTCGGTCAGTCAGAAAGTCTCAAGATCCAAAGTATGACAGACCTCGGTATGTTATACTTTGTTAACTTCTCCGATAAAATATTATGGTCTATTAAGTCAAACGCTTTACGGAAGTCAAACGCCATAACTCGAGTTGTTGACAGCATTCGATGTTACAGTAATTACTGTATCACTTTGTGCAGGTTGGGTGAAATGTTGACAAGGTACTGAAGATAACGGCGCATATCTAGCCATGGGGGCCAAAAAGGCATTATTAATCTCGTTGGCTAAATCTCTTTTATCTGAGCTAGAAGGGTCATCTCCCGGTCTCAAAGCTTTCACAATTTCATCTGAGGTTCCCCCGATTACATTCATTCCACTAAGCTTCTTAACCTCTTTCCACCATGCTGATGGTTTACACTGTTTTAAATGGTGAACGCTATTCTCGTAATATTTTGCCCGACATTTTTTCCTTTGGCGGTTGATTTGATTCCTCAATCCTCAGCCTTTTAAATTTTGTGGTACTTTTCTGGTTGAGGGCTTTTTTGTCGTTTCCTTATAAGACCTTTCAATGTTGAGTTCATCCATGGAGCTTCATTTAATCTGGCAGTTTTATTTCGTAGCGGAATAATTGAATCCAACCCATTATTAATTATTGTTTGGAATAAGGATGTTTTTTCTTTACATGAGCGGCCTGTGTTAAGCAAGGTGGGAATGTCTACCATCTCTATATATTTCCTTACAGCAAAGCGAGAACTAGGTCTCAAGTCTCTCACTTTTACTGATGCTGTTAAGAGGACGTCTCTGTAAGAGCGGACCACTCGATCTGGGCTTCAAAAATAGATTTCTCTTATGATTTCTACCGTCGATACTCTCATCTATCCTAACTACGAAACTGGAGTTAAGGTCGTCCAAACGTGATTTTTACAACCGCTATGCGAGTTTTTGGCCCAGAACCCAAGTTAATTAAAATATGCCGGTTTCTGAAATCGCCAAAGCCTACAATCACAGTCCGCTTTCTCTGCTAATCAAGGCTTCGTTTTCAGGCCTGAGCTGCACCAAAAATCAAGAAACATTAATAACTTGTTCCTAAATGTTTTTTCCCTGATTCTTAAAGATTTATTTAAGTAATTTCAACCCTCTTTTAAGCGATTTTGGAATTTGCTAACACAACATGGACATAACATTTAATATACCTCGCTTAATTAATAATATGCATTCGTCCCAAATTTTGTATGAAATTATATTCAAAAATCATTTTATAATATAATAGCAATTGCAATGAATCAGAATAGGCACAAATACCAGCTTAGAATATCAGAAATAGAATGACTCGTATGATTTTAGAAATTAATTAATAACAAGGCGCTCGAAAGAGCGTTAATTCGCTGGGGCTAGGGTGTATAAAAAAACTGAGCAGATTTGAAATTGCTCACAATTTCAAAAAACGGCTATTAGTATCCAGTTTTTGATGTACATAGCTTCCTTGGGTACTTATAATGTAGAATAATGAAAAAAAATTCTCGAACTCAAATTTTGTGAACCAGGGGGGGGTGGTGTCTTTTCCAACAAAATAAAAATGGCTTGCGCACGAAATTTAAAAGCTTTAATCATATTTTCAGGGCCGTAGCAAAGGGGGGTATTGGGGAGGGGTGGTTAACCCCCCAACTTTTTTAGAATTAATATATTCGGAAAATCAGGTTGGTCATTCGGAAAATTACGGCAGTAATATAATATAACAAAATTTTAGTTGTTTAAACAAAGAAAATATTATAAAATTGCATGTATTGTCAGCATCGTAAACTGATTTACAAAATTACGGCATTTACATGGATAACATTTAACAAATCGTAGATCGGTAAATGTTTTTCGGTTTATTACTTCCCAGGGCCGTAGCAACGGGGGGAGGGGAGGGGGCAGTCCTCAATATATCTTTAAAATACTGACAGTTGATTAATTTTAAGCGGCTACATTACCCATGGCAAAACCGCAAAGAATCGTATTACCCATATACGCCTTCGCCCATTTAGTTCTTCTAAGTTGTAAGCAAATTAATTGTAAATTTCGACGTGCTAAAACTCTGTTTTCTGACCATCAGAATTCTGTCAAAACTTCCCCCAAAGTCCACGAAATGGCATTTCAGAGACTCTAAATTTAAAAATTTCCTCGGGCC